TTAATCATGAGAAATTGGGGACTCAAGTGGATTTTGAGTTTGGTATAATACTGTTGGAGTTTGATTTATGGTCTATATTAAAAAATACAGCTCAATCGAGTTCAAAAGTTAAGGATAATTCGGCTTTGCCACCATAACCAGCGGTGCCTTAGTATTCAATTGCCAGGGTCAGACCCACAAGAGATATTGGACCTCAACAAAGGCATGGCGAAACTGATTTTGTTGATTGTGCTTTAAATGCGGTCGAATGTATTGAGTCTAGCAAATAACCTTCTACACAAGTAGTTAGTAATGTTGGGTCTAAATAATCGGCTAATTGAAAATTTTCAAGTGGTATCAGAGACTTAATTTTGATCCTTACCCCCAAGAGTTATCTAGATGAGTCAATCCCCTTTCTATTGACTTAAGGTTTTGGACTTACTTATATGAGTTTAACGACACTTTTCACACATGAACTACTTATAGAATTTACTCTATCTAGGTTTTGAAATAAATTATGTGGGAAGAGTTTACTTGTTTATGAACAATGCATGTATCAAAAAGGAAATAATGTTCATGATGATAAAGTTGACAATCTTTGAAAAATTCAAAAAACAATTGGTCTCGAGATTGAAAAATTTTTATTCTCCTATCACGTGTTTTTGCTTCATTATACACATGTGCATATTTTTTTACTCATTCCCCAATGTGTTTGACATGATTATTATTTGTTTTTCCTTTGTTATTTGTGACAAAAAGGGGGAGAGATGTATATTTATTTCAGGTAGTTGATTACATGAGTTAGGTGGAGAATTTTAAATTTTTTGATTGATAGTCGACTTAGGGGGGAGTCATTTGATATATTTGCTGGAATTTTATTATTGATATAATTTTGTGTTTTGTCTATATTGATATAAAATTTTATGTTTTATTTTTAAGCTTATAATTCACGTGATATTGCATGCTTCGGTGGTATAGTGTTTTTTTATGTGTTTTATTTAACTTAGATATATGATTTTGGTTTTGTTAGTTTTCTCTTACTTTTCACGTGGTATTGTGGTTTTCATGTATTTCAGGAAACAAGTTGACCAAGTATTGAAGAAATTTTTGAAAAGCTTATTTTTGGGTTGTTTTGGACTGATTGACTTCGAAATAAATATGATTTTGTCACGGAATTCCAAATGGGGAGACTATTAAGTCCAAATTATAATTGACAATTTTTAAATTTGTAATTGGCAATTTCCTTAGTCAATATCAAGTTCTAGTTGTATTGTATTAGGAGTTTATCGAGTTGTAATCAAAGTCAAAATAGGAGTTATCGAGTCCCAATTAAAGTCAAAAGAGTTGGGTTGGTATTATAGTCCTTTAAAGAGTCCAAGATGTTCAAGAATATCACATATGATCATTGGAATGTAATTAGAAGTCTAAAGAGTGTCAAAGATCCGTACAAGTTATGCTTTATATTTCCGATCGCAAATTACAATGCATTTTTCACATAGCAAACATTGGAATTTGGACAAGGCTGTTTTAGAAGAATTGTATCCCATTGAGTTAACTTTTTAACGCATTTTGAATCACCTCAAAAGAATGTTTAAAGAGAAAGTTATTATAAAAATATTGATGATTGCTCAATTACCGCTTGTCTGTCGCTGGTTTGGAGCTCGAGCGACAGATTATTCGAAGAATAGTAATATTCTATTTCAAGCTGATTTTGAGTTTCTTTTCATCCCAAACACTACTCTTATAAATATATACCCTATGGGACATCCAAAAGTGCGTTGAATCAGATTTATTCCATAATTATCAATTCTTTGATAATCCAAAAAATTCATTGATTCCAAAATTCAACAACCACATATTACTTGATCCATAAATTCTTCCAAAACATATTTTGTTGATCAAGCCATATTGTTTCATATTAAACCACAAATCAAAACACACTAGATCTTTTGATCAAACACCAAACCACCTAATCCACCAGAGATAAATTGATACCAGGGATTGGGAACTGTTGTAGAAACACAAATTCTGGACAACTAAGGTAAAGTATCAGGAGTCGGGATCTTGCGTCAAGAGACTGCAGTCCGAGAGTAAGGTATAAACCAGGAGTTGAGATTTCTTTTTACAGCGTACACCTCCAATAGGATCAAGGGAAACTGGAGGAATTGATGTCAAAAGTTCTATTGGGTAGAGGGTTTGGACCGTACTATAAGTTTGCTTTGATTTTGTGGAGTAGTGACCAGTAAAATGCCCGGAGTTTTTACTAAGTTGGGGTTTCTACGTGATCAATTTGATGTTCTTTATTGGGGACTAGAGCTGCCAATTTGTCTAAAATTCAATGTTCATAACCTTTTACAAGATTTGGGTATGAAAATGAGACGGACTTGTACTTGATAGTCCAACTAATAATCAGATATAAGTAATGTACAGAGTCTGAAAAACTGAAGTTCAAACAGCGACAGAAAAGAATTTTTGAAAGAAAATCTGGATAAAAAACTTCACAATAAATGCAGAGAAATATCTATAAAATTGAAAAGAAAAAGAAAGGAAAGCACCGGAAGTTGGTACCAAGCACATTAAAATTTCTTGGATTTTCCTTTACTGAAATTTGAATTTTTTGTAAATGCAATGCCACGTTTCGAAAATCTTGCATGTATTACATATTTCATAGAATCCGTAATTTGGTTGCGTTAATCTGTCATCTTTTGAGTAAATTCTTCGCTGTCAAGTTTTGGTTTATGTCGTCATTCATTTCCTTCTTCTACTGGTTTTAAATTTCATTGGCGTTATTTTGTCATTCACTTACTTCTTGTATTTCTCTTTGTTTTCTGGATTTTTGAGCGAAAGAGTAAATGTCGGTTTCATCTTCCAGATCACAAGAACAAAGAATGTCTGAAAATTTGGCTCCTGACAATGTTCTTTCAGAGGAGGCGAGGAGCAGTTAAACACACATTTCATTCAGGCCGGGAAAGCTATTCTTGAGCTCTCATATATCAACGAAGAGGTCTTGCAAGAATTGGATGTAAGCCTTATATTTCTATCACAACAATCTACATGAATTTTCTGTTCGGCCTAGATAAGGATTTTGCTTGACTGAATTTCATTACACAATGAAGTGTTTGATTCTTCTTATAGATGATTTTCTGATGATTATTTTGATAATCAAACTCTTCATGGAATGTTGCTGATGGCACTTAATGGTTTTGCTTTTAAGGGGTGGTTGGCAAAAAAGGGAAAAATCATTGGTGATTGACGATTTTCTTGTTATAAACTGAGTTTTGATTCGAATTTATGGATGATTTTATTGTTATTTCAAGGTGGAGGCTTTGAATAGTGGTTAAGCTATTTAACATTGGATTGGATGCAATAGCCAACAGTCTACGGTTTTCTGAAAGAGATAAATAGAAGAAAACATCACGAATTCATGCCTCAAGGCCTGTGGTCTGTGGAGAACTACACATCAATACTCAATGTAAAGTGTAAACAAATTGGAGGTTGAGTGCAGGTTGAGTGCACGCTGTGTGTAAACAAAATACTTACTCAATAATCAAAAATTCACGCCTCATGGCCTCACGGTTTTCTCTCTCTGCGTGTAATTTGCTGGTGGTGTTGGGAAGGGGGGGGGGGGGGG